AACATATTCAATTATGATTTATTTGATAAACCATGGCTGGATAAACCATGATACTGGGCTGAATGAATCCAGTCATAATATGACATAAAAATAGAAAGTTAACGATGTGCTTTAAAAATCAATGCTAAATTGGCCCGTTGGACTTATAAGCTTCTGCTATGTAGCTAGATTTGTATTTACCATAAAATATTTAGCCACTACTTGGACCTTTAAACTGATCTTACAATTATGGAGGCAATAGAATGGAATGGAATGGAACGGAACAGAATGCTGTCTTTGATCTTATTCATATAGATAGTCAGTCCAGGATATTCAATGTTGAACAATTTGAATTTAAGGAGAAAACTATTGCCATATGATTGAATAAGGAGATATAAAATTAGTGGTTTTATTAGTGGTTCATTCATAACTACTGTTAGGTATTACACTGTGGTCTTGATAATGACACTGGTTTCTGACATGAGCATCTCTCTTTCAGTTTCTATATGGTTTTCATTTTTCCAATAACATAGGAATCTATATTTCTGTATAAAGCAGAATATTAAATCTGTAAATTTGTAAGGTAAAGCCATATTATAACTGAACAAAAGGGAGATCAAACCCCTTTCCCCTCATTATTACTATATCTTTGTGCTATATGAAGCTGACAGCTGTTAATATATTCCTTTAGTAGGATTTTACAATCTGCATCCGTTAAAGTGTTCAAAGTATGTTTTTCTAGTATCATTGCAATATTTTTTTCTTAAAAAATTACATCCAGTATCTTTAGAAGATTTGTGGATTCCGTGCTCTCTTTTGCTCTTTCTCTATATACACACCTATAAACATACACTGAAAGTCTACGATAGTCAATGAACAAACAACATGTGGATGCTATTATATCCCCAGATTCAGTTAAATGACCCGTGTTTAAGGCATTTTGCCACAGAACTGTTCTCCAAAAGAAAAACAATAAGAGGAGCCTTGAGATGTGTGTGAATAAGTGCAGAATGAGGAGATCTAAAATTAAATCTTAAATAACACATAGATCTCTGGCTGGTTAGTGTGTGGATATAACATTATTTTTGGCACACAGATGCAAAAGAGCGACCAGCAGATGAGAGATACTTGCAACTTCCTAACCAGAACAGGAAGATTTTACTACTTAAATCTCCAACCAGGGCCAAATGGAAAGTTGGCATGGGGAAGGTTTTTATGACCTCAAGTTTTTGTGCAGATGTTGGGCAACTGCTGGAAAGGCATCACCATAGCCAATAGTGAAAGCCTGGAGCCATATTATGAAGGCTTTTTTTGTTCTCCGTCACTTCTGTGATGATGAGATCAGGTGACTAGAAATAAAGCTGATGTTTACTGGACTTAAGCCCAAATTCAAGATGAATCTCATAGCACTCATCTTAAAAGTACTATTCATATAGCTATATTCTTCTCCAACTTATGTCAAATCTGCACTAGAGAAGAATTCCCAGTTTACTCATGGAGTTTATGAACTTTCCTTCCTAGTCTCCCAGCTGCAATTCCTTTTCCAATACTTGGCTCAGTTATGGTTCTCTAACTACAGGAACAAGGAAGACCTTATCTTTTGCAGCTTTATTCAGTAAACAGGCAAGCAGGGCAGAAAATAAACATGGATTTATACAGGAAAGGGTATTTTTTGAGAGGAAGAAACATCTTAGCCATCCATTTATTTAGAAATAAAGTTTCAGCTCCTAATTTGCCTATCTCAGCTATTCTTATATGCTAAGGTCTTCTCTCTCACCAATGTCGCAGGTTCCCTATCTCACCTGACATCAGTAGAAAAAGCAGACTTTGTTCAAAGAGATGTTTACTGGCCCTTGCTCCTTCTTGTCTCCCTTGCAAACTTCCAGACAAACATAAATAATAAAGTAGTTGATAAACCAAAATAGCAATGTTCAGTAAGCAAACAAAATCCCATAAAGTTCAAGTATGAATCATGGGTGACTAGAGATGTTTCCATGAAATATCAGACTGGTCCTTTGAATGTCTCTGAAGAAAGCAAGATTGAAAGATCATCAATGAATCCTCTCAAAATAGCTCCTTGCAATGAAACCATGCAAGGCCTTGCAAGTGTTGAGTAGATGACATCTTTACTCTTAGCAGTGGTGGAGACAAAAACCAGGCAACCTCATTTTGTAATCATTATTTTTGAATGTTCAACTTAATCCCTTAGTAGATGTTAAAGACATTCAAACAGCTTAAGCTTAATTTGATACCTGGTGAATTTTACCATCTTGGGATTTAAGAAATCTTAAATAAAGTCTCAAAAATGTATAAATTAAATTTAATTACACAAGCAAGTGTCACATTCATGGGTCACAATGAAGAAGGAAGCGGATGTGGGAATAAAGAAAACACTGTGTTTCATCATATTTGTATAATAAAACAATATTCATTTTTGTGCAGATTTTTTTCACTGTTATTAGATTTATAAGTAATTGTTCTCAAAACATGTGAAATTACTGCTAACAAAGAGATGAAAATAATAAATCAGATTAAATCTTTCAGCATTCTATATTATAGGGAAAGAAGGAAAAATAAATAAATCAAAATACAATAAACTGTAAAATTAAATTTTACGAAGCACTACTTTGAATTTTATTTTTAAAGGAAGTTCCTTTTTGGAAAATACATAAGCTAGCTTTATGGAAAGAATGCTGGTTGGGTGAAATATGATGTTGGTGTCACTTCTAATTTTTTCTTTGGAAGAACCTTTGCATATTTTACTTTGATTACCTCTTTCAAATCATTTTTCATTTCCATAGTCTCTGAAGACATTATGTACCTCACATAACCTTGCATTTGGAGAGCATTGAGGATGCTATCATTCTTCTGACATTATACAGAGAAACTAAATCGTTTTAGTGAAATCAGTTTTTCTTAAGTTAAAATACCTTCAACCCCTAATATATGTGTGTGTGTGTGTGTGTAGATAAAGAGAAAATATTCCCTAAAAGAGTTGGCTATAGTTCTCGTATATGAAGAGAGATGAAATCTTATATCATATTTTCCATAGATTCCATAGATTTTGCGGTTTCATTTTTCAAATGTCATCTTAACAAAACGTGTGCAGAGGTTGTGTTTTGTTTTGCTTTTGCTTTTAATTTTCCATGTGGCTATTGCCATTCTAGTCATCTTTATTCTTTGCCTGGATATTAGTTTCAAGGTGGGAAGTAATTCATATTGCACTGTTAAGTGTCAGGTTATGGCCAAAGCAGAACAGCAGAATGGAGCAGACAGTGGAGAATATCCAGAAATAAATCTGGAGTGTGTTGTTCACTGGGTTTTTGGATGCTAGGGGTACCAGTGGGGATGAGGCTGATAAGAGACAAGCCCCTTTCTTTTTATGTGTGATGTCTTGATATTTTTTGAACCACCTTTCTGTTATATATTGTATATAGTATACATAGTTTATTTATTTTATTTATTTATTTATTTATTTGATTTGCCAATTGTTTACAAGATAATAAGTATAAGTGTATACATAGTTGTGAATACATGAAATGGGTACATATAAGAAAAATAAAAGAAGAATAAGAGAAACAATAGGACAGGGACGGTAGGCACGTTGGTGCGCTTATGCACGCCCCCTACAGACCTCTTAGGAAAGGGGTGAGGTCAATAGTAGACAGTCTAAGGTTAAAGTTTTTGGGGTTTGGGGAAGAAACTACAGAGTCGGGTAGAGTATTCCAGACATTGACCACTCTATTGCTGAAGTTGTATTTCCCGCAATCAAGTTTGGTGCGGTTAACTTTGAGTTAGTATCTATTGTGTGCTCTTGTGTTGTCAGTTGAAGTTCTCATTCTGGTCCTCTGGTCCTCTTTATCTTGATTGGTTGTTTGGCTGATCAGTTTCCTATAAAAGGAGCTCTGTCGCCCAGGGAATTTCAATTGCCTCACAGGCAGTATTGAATAAAGAGCTATTAGAAATCACTCTGGCCTAGCTTCCATTCTTCACCCAGAACTTAACACCTTCCCCTGCAGATATTCTAGTTTCAAATCTTGTTCATTTGAAATTCCCTCCATTTTTTTTAATGAGGCTCATACAAAAGTTTAATAAATTTGGTTTGAAATACTTTAGTTTTTTTTTAAAAAAAAATACTAATCTGAGATATTATCAAGTGGAATAAAACCATGAACAGGGATTGTACCACCCTTCCCTTTAAAATCACCATAAACCAGGAATTGCCCACTGAAGATGGCAGGGTAGAGATTTGGAACCAATGAAAGAAAGAAGGAAAAATAAGAATAAAAACAAGTAGGGATCTGTGTTGCTGTTTGGAAATTTGGAAATGTTCTGGATTGAAGTACCCTGGACTCACCTCTGTTACTACAACTCTAGTAGCAGAGCTAGTAAACTTTGTTTTCTAAAATATAGGGGGGGACTTTTTTTTAAATGCCAGATATTTTCATTTGTGAACAGCTTTGTTTCTCTGCTGTTGCTGAGTTTTAATTATTATTATGATTCATTAGATTTATATACCTTACACTTCCCAGTTACTTGAGGGAACACAATATGCTATATTGTTGTTCTTTTATTTTGCTGAGGTTTGTTTTATCATTGAGCAATATTTGTGAGTGAATCGTGATCTACATACACATATTTAAATAATCTTCTGCAGCGTGTTTCCTTCTCTTTCTCTCTCACACACATGTGTGTGTTTTGTGTGTGGGAATAGGAATAGGTCTTTTGCAAAGCCAGATTTTTGAAGACAGGTGATAAGTCAGAACTGGCTGTATTTAACCAGTTTCCTAGGTTGGGAATATGTTCGGGGGGCATACAGTTCAGGAAAGTTAGGTTAGATACAAAGAAATCTTGATCCGTTCCACATGTATAATCTGCACTCTGCTCCAACCCCTGCAACCTATTCATACATGCTAAAACAAACATGTGACGCTGAAATGTGCTTGTTTCCCCAGTCTGTTGGAACACAAGATTCTTGAAATGGAAGAAAGGCATAAAGAGGAACTAGATACATTAAAAGAGGAAAAGGGGACCCTGCAAGTTTTGGTGTCTCGTCAAAGCTACATTATCCAAGAACTTGAGAGGCAACTAAGTAAAGCAACAACCAATAACAGCATTATGCAGAAGCAACAACTTGAACTCATGGACACAGTCCATAGCCTGGTCAGCATTTGTTCCAAAGATGGAGGTAAGATGGTATTCATTTGAAAAATAAACAGGGATAGATAGATTGAATGTCTTTAGTGCAATGAATGACTTTATTCATTCCAGTATATAATTCCCCAAACTAGTTAGTGGAAAAAACAAAAAACAAAAAATGTGCCTTCCTCAGTATTTCCACTACTAATACCAATGGTCTGTGAGGATTGATATTGATGATTGTAGACCAGCAACATTGGAAGTAGATATATAAGTTATATAAGATATATAAGATATAAATATAAGATATATAAGATATATATAAGATATATAAGACTAAAACATTTTGTTTTCCTACATTAAAGTGGTGCATTTTGGGATGGAAGAAGAACAAGCCATTGCTAATGTGTTAATCAGGTCTGGTAGTATGAAATGAGAACATTAGGTGTCAGGTTCCAAAACCAAGGACGATATTGAGATCTTTAGCAGATTTCTGTATTGTTCCTCTTCTACAGAGAGAATTCTCAAATTAAAGCAGACTAGTTTGCACCAAAAAGATATACTATGAGAACTGTTAGGCAGGAGCAATCTTCTTCTTTCTCTCACATAAACTATCTAAATTGTATGGTCTTTTGCTGCTCTGGAATGCACTGCATCCCTCCTGAGAACACAAACAACTTTCTATCGTATTGGGTGAGGCTTGCTGTTTCTTGAGAAATTATCTATGAATTCTGATCATTTTCAGAGGATTTTTATTTGCCAGGCTTGGGTTGAACATTGAAGTTTGATGCTTACCATATTGCAGATGGGTATAGATCGTGTGGTCCTTAGCCTTTTGTTCATCTCTATTCTTATTCTGGTACTCATTTGACAAATTGATCCTGACTACAAATTGATCCAGACCAACATGGGCAAACAGTGGAGATCCTGGTGTTGTTGGGGAAAAAATGGCAGCAACTGTAGCTATCCTGGCCAATACTGAAAGATGCTAAGAGTATCTCAAGTTGCCTCCTTTCTCTACCCCAGGAATATCAAACTCATGTCATCATGACAGTGTCATGGGATGCATTGAGACTTTTTCCCACTTTGCTAAACTGGATGTGGGCATGGCCAGCACGTGATGCATCCAGCCCACAGGCCAGGAGTTTGACAGCTCTGACCTAGCCTGATTAAAAATCAGCTCTCTTTTATTAAAGTGCTGCACTCCTCCTGAGTCATTTGGGTTGAGTCTGTTGGTATCTCCCAGACCTACAGTAACTTTCACTTTTTGTTTTGTATTGTATTTTAAAACTATGGTTAAGTTGAATTGAAAAATATTATCTAATTAGCATTTTAAAATAATATTTTCTATAAACTTGATTATTCTACATTATTATAAAGGATGAGGAGGCATATACCATTCTGAAGTTGAGAAAATATCACTCTTATCCTAATTTCCTTCACAAAGTATAATGAATGGTTGGTTGCAGGAACTGGGCATGGCTACTCTAGTGAAGAGAAAGACCAGGGGAGACGTGATAAGCAACGTTCAAAGATCTAAGGGGCTGCCACAGAGAGGAAGGGATCAAGCTATTTCCCAAGACACCTATAGGCCAGACAAGGAATAATGGATAGAAGCCGATCAAGGAGAGATTTTTTTCTAGAAATAAGGAAAAATTTTCTGACAGTGAGAACAATCAACCAATGGAACAGCTTGCCTTCAGAAGTTGTTGGAGCTTCATCAATGGAGGCTTTCAAGAAGATATTGGACTACCATTTGTCACAAATGGTGTAGGATCTTCTGCTTGGGAGGGGTGGTGGTGGATTAGATAACCTACAAGGTCCCTTCCAACTCTGTTAATCTGTATCTGTAGGTGAGCCAGCAGTAATCTTATTTTTCCACATCTCAGCAAGAGTTTATTTGATCAATGATCAGAACAATAAAAGAAAATTATGATAATGTATGCTACATTATGATAATGTAGCATAACCTTTTAAAACTGTGTGTGAGAGTCTAATAGCATACTATAAAACAAAACTTACCATGGGCATATTTATTTTTTGTTACAGCAAATATAATTCTGTAGTAATTTGTTAAGATACTTTAATAGCTGTAACACCAAATTTAGCTCTATTAAATGTGATGTTAGAATTTATGATCTAATAAGAGAAAAGCAAGATGAAACTTATGATTTTCCTCTTTTGGGAGGGAAATGATTTAGGGGATACTTTGATAATATGCTCAGTGCACAAAACATGTTGGGTGGTTTTTAATCAAGTTTGAATTGTGGTGATAAGTTCTTCTGGAAAAAGGAATTTTAGCTAATCTACAACTGAGAACTGCTGTAGGTAAAACATCATGCCTGGCTCTGAAAAAGGATTGCTGCTGAGTAGGGGATGTAAGTGTGGTTGAAAATCTACGTGATTTCCATCTAGGGTATTTTAAATGCTCCTTGATATGTTTTAAACTAAGTTCATGCTATTGTTCAGCATCAAATAATCTGGCTTTGACAATTTGACGCACTATTTTTTTTATTCTAAAGACAATAGCAGGCTAAGATAGAGGCCCGAAAGAGCACATTTTTTTGAGGACTAGTAGATACCAAGAGCTTTGAAACTGATCTGTCAACAATAGAAGGCTCAATCCTGCTGGGGGGGGAGAATGGCATTTGAGCCAATAATTAAATATGAGCAGCCATGCCTTTATTTTCAGTGATTTTTTTTCCTACCTAAGGAATGCATTGGATACACATTTTTTATCCATGGAAAATTGATTGCATTAACCTAGTTTGGACCATTTCTAGAGATTCATAATCAGAGAATTGGCCTAAGTATGCTCCATAAAACATCTAGATTACAAACTTTGTCTCAAATAACTGAAATGCAACAAGAATATGTTCTTTGCCTTGGCATGAAAGAAAGACTAGATTGCTCCTTAGCTCTTCAGGGCTAATTGTATCATGTAATCTATATGAGATTTCCAAAAACCAATAGCAGGTAGAATCATCACTAAATATTTCAAACTCTTAAGTTGTCCTATTTCACTTCCTGAAATAGTCTGCTAATGTTTTTTAGGATTTTTAGCAAAGACTACTGCTGGTTTCATTTTCTGCTAATTAATTTAGTTTTTTAAAAAATAAGTGTTGGGTTGGTCTAAGTCTATTGATATCTCCTTTTGGTTTGCATGTAGTGCTTTTGGACTGTATAAGATATGTGAGCCATCTCTGCAGTCCATAAATAAAAACACAGAGACAAATTTTCCAAGAGTCATTGTTATGTTGATCTGGTTCATATCTGAGTCATGCTCACTAGCTTCCATTGATGGATGACAAGTTTTGAAATACTATTGGAAATAAATATAATATCCCTTATTCTTTGCAGACCCAAAACAGTCCTATACTGTTACTCTACACCAAAACTCTCAGGCTTTTTCTTGACTCTGATTTGGGATTTCAGACAATCTGGAATCATATATTATTCAATAATAAATACAATATCATCAGGTAGTCAAAAGCAATATGGTCATGGAGAATTGAAATCCTCATGTTATAATTTTGAACAAGGGTGCTCCTGTAGATCATATTTAGCCAATCCACAGTAGGAAGTTATCCAACTTAGCAAGGGAAATGTTGCTCAACTGAAGGAACAGTTGAGTATAGGTCTGTGTATGCTGGGGCCTGCTCAGGGATTTAGCAATAGCTATATTAAGTTATGACTGAATAATAGTTGGGGACCAGATGCAACATACTTTCTCTTTAAAAATAGTTATAACAATGTGAAATAGATACAACACAAATGTAATTTTATAACATGAATATAGTTCAGTTCAGCACTGACTTGAGAAAAGACCTTTATAAACAACTTCATTGAATTTAAATCATCTAATGGTATAAATGGATGTATTACAGAGTAACACTAGACAAGATATATATGCAGAATGTTTTACAGTACAGAAGGGTTATCATGCAGTTTGTGGTAAGATCATATATTTTCTTAACTAACTTTTCAAACCTTATTCTTATTTCAAGTTATTTCAGTGTACTTTTCTGTTATCTTTTCTTGAATAAGCTTTTCTTGAATAATCAAATAATACATTTTCCCCAATTTTCATAAGTAGAATACATGTTTTCAGTTGGATAAACATTACCAATTCTTTAACATAATCTACTCAGTAATCTTTGCAGGATTTTATTGCAGTGACTGCTAATATAACATCAATGTCTTCTGTCTTTAACTCAAATAGCTATCACAATTTTAGTGACAGTTAAATAATTTATACAACAGATAACAGATAATCAGAGTTGGAAGGGACTTTGTAGGTCATCTAGACCACCCCCCTACCCAAGTGGGAGACCCTACACCATTTCTGACAAATGGCAGTCCAATGTGGTATGCTATGCTATACCACATTGTTATATACAGCTTAGGTATAGGAGAAGCAGAGGCTGGGAGTGGACTTAAGAGAGGAATCAGTCAGAAGTCATTACAATCCCATAAGCAATCTAAGTCCAGCTCCTCTTTAATTCTGTTAACTCTTATCTAGTGCCAATTTAGTGCTGATAGTTAAATAGATTCTTGTGTATAGAAATAAGCAATGAATCAGCTTAACTGGAACTTAACACACCATCCTAATTCTTCTCACCTGAAATTAGACAATATCATTCCTAGACATTTCTTAGAATTTAATTGTTGAGATGATTCTAAGGAATAATTGTAATTGTAAGGAATAATTACAATTGTAATTGTAATTAGACTTGATCAGCTATATCACCAACCTATCTTCAATAGAAAATGGGAATCATCTACAAAGTAATTAGTAGAATTGCTACTGAGGCTATTCAAAAGCACAAAGAGACCAATTTATAACTAATTATTTAATTTCCAAATTGACTATCTTCTTCAGGTTAATTAAGTTTCATTCAGCATTTAACAATCCCTACATAATAGTTTTATTGACTTGGTGGCTTTCCAAATATGTTTAGATTACAGCTTCCAAAATTACTAGCCAATTTTTCCAACTAAGAATATTATAGTTCTAGTAAAAATGCATCTGATATTACATTGGAGAGAGCTGGAGAGATATACTTATGCCTGTCTTTGTTTTTATAGCTCTTCTGATACCCTGCTTTAAACACTCAAAATCACTAAGAAATTAAATGGCTATGGAACAATTTTGGGCAATGCATAATGCTGATTATTATGTTGCTTTGAGTGTGTAGTTGGAATTTACTATTTGAAAATTTGGTCTACTAGGAAAACCAATGTGTCATAGGAATGCCTTTTGAACCAGACTCATCTGTAGTGGAAGAAATTGAAACAGTGACCTGTAATTTTGCTTGAAAACTTTACTCTTGAACAGCTGGAAGTTCCCAGCTGTGTGAAAAGCTTTTTGTGAAAACAAATTCAAAGTGAAATGTACATTTTGTGTACAATGGAGGCTAGAAAGGTGAATCTTTTGAGAAGATGTATGCAGAAAATTTAAAGAAGTCAGTAAGAACAGGACAGACACAGACATCAGAGGATAATGAGGATTGCAGAAAAAAAAATTACTACCAACCTGCCTTCCATAAAGGACCTGTATACTGCACGAGTCAAAAAGAGGGCTGTGAAAATATTTACAGACCTCTCACATCCCGGACATAAACTGTTTCAACTCCTTCCCTCAAAATGATGCTACAGAGCACTGCACACCAGAACAACTACATACAAGAACAGTTTTTTCCCCGAAAGCCATCACTCTGCTAAACAAATAATTCCCTCAACACTGTCCAACTATTTATAAAGTCTGCACTACTATTACTATTAATCTTCTCGTCACTCCTTATCACCCATCCCCTCCCACTTGTGACTGTATGACTGTAACTTTGTCTCATGTATCCTTACGATTTGTATTGACTGTTTCTTAGTATGATTTGATTGCTTATTGTACCCTATGACTATTATTAAGTGTTGTACCTGATGATTCTTGACTCTTGATGAATATATCTTTTCTTTTATGTATACTGAGAGCATTTGCACCAAGACAAATTCCTTGTGTGTCCAATCACACCTGGCCAATAAAGAATTCTAGTCCAGTAGTCCATCTAGCCCAGTAGATATGCATACAAGGAGGTATTTTTCCAGGCTTCAGAAAGCTTTACCTAGCAAGCCCTAGGGCTGAACTTGGGATTGTAAGATTACAAAGCATATGCTTTCTCACTGAGATATGTTTTTCTTTCCTGGATGTCTAATTAATGACGACAGTATTTCCCCCCCCCCCCCCCCCCCCCCCACACAAAAGGATATTCAACATGGAATCTAAGCTAAAGCTACCTGTTGACCAGCAGACGTTTTCTTGGGAAATACCTGCTGATGGGTGGCTGGTTAGGGCACAGCTGTGGAGCATTTGGCAAGCTGCATTGTGGTTTAATCCAGGTGCAGCGGGAGGAAAGAGACTCTTGGTATAGTAAGCTCTTTGACTTGGTTGGGAAAAAAAGTGGCTCCATCCTGGAGTAATTACAGGTTGGCATTTTGCCAGCAAGGCAAACCTCATTCTTTGTTCACATACTCATACACACAGAGTGTGAATGGAAGGAAAGAAAAAGCATCCGATTTCTTAAAGAACATCAATCGCTTGCAGCTCAGTTTCATGCCAGGTTTGGGGGAAGAAAAGGCACCTGTAAGAAAGCTTTTGTTCCACCACACCATGCTGAGAAACTCATTTGATATAAACACAAAAGGAACAGTGAGACCCTCATCAATCCTCCCCCCACCAACATGTAACCTTTCTTCACAAAGCTGTTATTTAAAAATATTTTAAGAGGTGAGATTTGATCAAGCAAATGCTTTTTCATCCTAGAGAAATATTAACTGTAAAAAAATAAATAAAGTTTGGTTATTTTGTGTGGCAGTTCGGCAATTTGAATCCCTAGCACCGCATAATGGAGTAAGCTCCCATTACTTGTCCCAGTTTCTGCCAACCTAGCAGTTCAAAAGAATGTAAAAATGCAAGTAGAAAAATAGGGACCACCTCGGTGGGAAGGTATCAGTGTTCTGTGTGCCTTCTGCATTTAGTCATGCTGGCCACATGACCATGGAGACATCTTTGTTCAGTGCTGACTCTTTGGGTTTGTAATTGAGATGAGCACCGCCCCCTAGAGTCAGGAATGACTAACACGTATGTGCGAGAAGTTGGCCAAAGGTCATTTGAAAAAAGACAGCAATTGTAGAGACTGGTGTATTCTTTCCTCATGCTGCAGTCCCATGTACATTTCACATTACTTGGCAGCATGAAATAACATAGTGAATACTGGATGATAGGTTTCAGCTTCTGGGAATGTATTAGACTTATGTTGAAGGAATAGGAGTAGATGTCCCATTGACTGTAGGCATATATTCTAAGGATGATTTTGCTGTTGTGCATAGTAAATATCTTATGTTTTTGAACCTTAGTGACTTAAGATGTGTGGACTTCAAGTCCCAGAATTCTCCAGACAGCATGGGCAATTCTGGGAATTGAGATCCACACATCTTAAAATTGTTGAGGTTGAGAAATAGTGATAAACAAGGCTGAAGACTGGCTTATCTTATATATACTAAATTCTCTTCTGTGAGATTTGCTGTAGGCAGCTTGCTATGTATGAACACAAAGCACTAACAGTTTGATTGATTTATTATGTGCCATCAAATCATTGTTGGCTCTTAGCAGCCTCATAGGTTGATTTTCTCCTTTTCAGATTTGTTTTATTAAACAAAACTTGTTATTAAACAAATATTAATAAAAAATAACAATGGTATAAAAAACTTTATTTGATTTATTTGATTTCTATAGCTGCCCATTTCAAACCAGTGAGAAATGCACATTTATCTTTTGATTTTATGAGTGTTAACAAACACCACATTGATTTTACATAAATAGTAGCAATCTCTATAATCAGAATTAACAGTTTAGAGTTTTAAGTACCATATGTAATATCAAAATAAAATATCAAAATGAAGGAAAGGCCTCAAAATTTCCTCAATCTTTTTTACATTGATCCTATATTGACATAGGATAAAAATAAGTTTGCTACCTACAAACCAATCTCCTCCATCAAGATATACAGGGAGTCAGAGAAAGCAATATGAAAAAAGTGGACTTTTCAACTTTCCCCCATATAACAATAAAAAAGTATGTGTAAACAATGTAATTCTCATCCCTCTGAGTTAATATATTTAGGTTTCTTGATCTAGATCTGTATTGCAGTCACTGAGAGTTTCAGGTTAATTTAGATTCTCATATAACTTTAAGTGCAGGTTCTACAGGTTTTTACACTGAATTTTTTTTAACATGTATACACTATAAAAAGCATTTGTTAGAAACTTTGATTCATAATCAGTTAGAATGATATAACTGAATAAGTACAGGAGCTGTGAGTTATACCAATTTCATCATTAGTGTATATGTTTACTTAGAAGTAAGTTCTACCAAATGAATTGCAATTAATTTTCAAGATGTAGCTTTTCTGCCCATATCCCTCATGTGACGACTAGTCCAGTATCTTCAGCCTGAGATGATGGGGTCCACAGTTGACCTCCCACATGTTTGGAAGTAGCCCCAGGGTTTCTCCAAAGGTTGACTCCAACTTCTGCCACTGTAACTTGCAATTTAATAGAAGGTAGAAAATGTGAAATATGTGTTAAATCATCAGATAAATTGTGTTCAGTATACAGCTCATTAACTTTGAAGTATGGCCGCTAGTGTTTCACTTGAAGGCCTCAAACCGTTCTCAGCTTAAAAAGCTTGCACAGTCCAAGTTTAGTTTAAGTTTAACTATAGCTTTAAGACAATTAAAAGGCGAGTCACATTTCTGAGTTGCTCCGCTTCCATGCCTGTCATGTAGAAATGGAATTGAGAAGCTTCTGTTCAGACTATGCTATTGATTTCTGCATCAAGTTGTTGTTGATGTCTAGAAGACTGCCAGGAAAAGTAAACTGGCTAACCTTGTCACTGGAAGAAATGCCACAATTGGTTGAAGATTTGCTGTGGGTTATTACTGCAGATGTCAATATCATATTCATTTTCTGTTTTGCAGTTTTGCTAAAGAATGCAAAAAAGGAAGAGGAGAAGCCATTCAGAGACTGCGCAGATGCTTATCAAGCTGGTTTTAATAAAAGCGGTGTCTACACAATTTATGTTACTAACATATCAGAACCTAAAAAGGTAAAGAAAAGTATGTATTTCTTTTTTAAACATTAAATCCATTCAAATAGATGTTGTGCAAAATTCAGGCAACTAGAATTGGCCTTAGGTAAATACCACTCTGCTTTTCATTCCTGCTGCTGCAGGAAATATGCAGAAATGACTTTCTCCATAGTTCCTTTTTTGCACCATGTCTTGGGAGACCTGGAAAAATTGCAGGGGTGGAACTGTATGGATGTTGTATCTCTTATGGAAAAAGACTTGAAGATGATTCAAAAGTCACATGTGTAGTTACTGCAGTATAGAAAAATTCAGACCACTATCAGCCTTTTTGTGAGCACCCAAAAGAGGAAAACTTTTTTTTAAAGATTTGCATTTGGGAGTTTAAGAATTAAGACTTAAGAGTTAAACTACAAAATCCCAAAGATTCTAAAGGCACCCTTTATTTTCTTAAACTCCCACAGTGTCATATGAGATACTGAAGTACAGAGAGGCTGGGTTAAGAAAATTTAGCTTTTTACTGTGCCTCAAGTCTTTAGGATAAATTTGGCCTTGTATTCCATCTGTTCATCTTTCTGGTGGCAAAGAATTCACAAGTACATTTATGATAGGCTTTTTAAAGTCCTTGTTTACGTTAATCAAATGCTATATTGGAGGAAAAACCTCCATGCTCAGGGTTTGCTATAAGGCTCTGCACATTACAGTTCAGTTATGTACTTTGTTTCCTATAGAGAAAAGTTTTCTATGTAAGAAAAAGCAAACAAACCATAAAGTGGACTAAAAGAAACTCTCTGGAGACTAGGATAAAGAATGATTTCTTCCAGACTTATTATTCTTTACCACTCCAGCAATCCAACCAGTACTCATTGGACTGGAGTCTTACCATGATATTAAGTGAAGCATGTAGAGCAACCACTCATATAAAAACACTAAAATATTCAGTATAATTTGATCTTCAATAACACAAGAAGTTCTCTCTTTTAAAGGACTAGTGCAAACTTCTCTATCAATTCAGGGAGTCTTGATACATCAGAGCCCCTTGGGTAGTACTTGTTCAAGTTGTTCTCAGCAGCGCTCGCTTCCACTCCTTCACAAATGAAATACTTCAAATATTTGGTGAAGATGAGCACTGCATCTCATTACTATTCAATAAAACTGTTCCTTTTTCAGGTTTCTGGGCAGGGGTGTCGAATATGACATATCACAACTTTTTTCTCTTCACTAAACCAGGAGTGGGCATGCATCCACCCACGGGCTGCGAGTTTGACATCCCTGTTTCTGGGCAAATGTTTTTTTTAAAGGGGCACCTGAAACTTCACTTTTAAGGAATCAACTTCTTAATGCAGCTGCAATCTTTCCCCCCTCAAGTTGGCAGAGAATTTTGAAAACAAAAGGAACTGCTTGAATGAAAACCTGCTTCTTTTGAACATGCAGACAGCTGTGGTGCATAAATGAAAGGAGCAAGTTTCCATCCACCATCTTACCAATTTTGACCCCACCCTGTATATGTTCCTGGTCCTGTGACCTTCCTCCCACAGTACCTGAAGTCCTTCCTCCACATCATTTTATAAGTATGCCCAGTGGAAAGAGTCAACCCATTGTCAAAACAGAAAAGCAGAACAATGTGAAATTCTGCCTGTTTCCTTATCCTTGATGCGTGTGTTCAGATTTCAACCTCAAAACATGCTAAAAGGTGTTTAATGGCTGACTGCCTTGACCCTGTCTGGGATGGGAGCCAGTTAAGGACATTTGTTGGCTTGAATGATGGAAAGCTAATGTTTATAATCACCCTGCCACTCCTGTTACTGTGGCAGGTGTTGCTATTCAGTCCATTGCTATAGGGATGAGCAGACCACACAATGAATAATTTAGTGGTGTAAATCTCACTGTCATTGTGCATTTTTTCCTTTCTTTGTAATAATTTTAGTACTCAAAATGCAAAAACTTTAAACTTATGTAGGAAAGGATTTTTTAAAATTTTAGTTCTGTACATCTTCTATTCCACGTTCTCATCCTAGTTTGTCATAAAGAAGACAAGTACACAAAATGCAATGCATATTTCTCTTCTTTCATCATTGAAACATATACTTTTTACATAGAATACAAAGATGTAATATTTGAAAAACCTTTGTGTTCTGTTGAAGCTTGATAATGCTTGGAAATTACTTGAAAATGCCTGCTATAAATCCAAGACCAATGAAGCCCCAGGCAGTAGGTAAATGTTTGAACTCAAATGCCATAATGAAAGGAAGCCCTAAGCCAAACTATTTCTCCCCTTGGATTTTTGTCCTTTCTTTTTGAAATAAAGTTCACAGTTTTGGAGCACTGTACAAAAGACAATCAGCAGTCTTTGGCTGTATGTGCAAGTATCAAAGACAGACAATAGAATCAAAGTCATGTAATGGAAACAACCAAGCAACCGTGCTATGAGCCATTCATCTTCATGCAAAAGGCATCAGATGGATTCAGCAAAAGATATAATAGCTTGGATTGAAGAAAATCATTCAAAGAAACTGGGTAATGACAACACTTACACTACCAGCAAACAGATAAATTTGGTTCCCTTTTATGATCCTGCATGAGAATAGACAATACTGTCTTTTAATGAATTGATACAAGCTTTTAAACCTATCGTTAGCTCAACAATAGAGTATAGTCCTTTTTTATATGATCACAATGAGAGTGCTTTAGCACACATTCAGCTATATTATAAGCATTCAAATATATGCATTTGAAAGGAGCACTTACAATTTAACCTGAACCATCCAGCAAAAACTGAAGCTTCATAGAATAGCAGGTGGTTGGAGCTGTTGGCCATAGTAGTGATGGTACTTAATACATATTTTTATATATTACTCAATGTATTCTAATGAATACAACTTGGTCAGTTTTATATTTTGTTGAATAAGAATCAGCATGAAGCAAATACTGTTGCCAAAACTGGCATTTAATAATTTAAATTAATTTAAATTTAATCAGCTTCTAAGCCAATCTCACTGTAGAATGCTGTTATAATAAAATAATTGTGAAGGAAACAAAGCATAGATAACATAGCTAGAACCTTGTAATTAAGAAAGGATCACAGAGCACCAATTAAAATGGAAAGAAATATGCCACAAATAAAACATAGAAGGGTCACATCAAATCCATGGGATTTAAAACTTATATGTTAGAGACAGTCAAATTAGGTTAGTGTACAAAACAAACCACATGGATCATTTTTTCCTGTGCATGTTAACAGTTAAGTATTTTTAGTTATTTACAAGATTTTTGTGACATCACAGTGATAAGACTTTAGATGGCTTATAAAAATATGCAATCACAGACTATTATTAAAAGAATAAAAAGTTCAAGTAAATGAATAATAATAATAATAAACGTAGCAGTAACACATGGCAATAGCAACTTTCCCATGAATTATAATCCAAAAACTATCCAAAAGGATTGTTTCCTGAATGCTAATAGAGAAATAGACATACTTAGATCAGCAGGACAAGCTGAGGCAAAAAAAAAGTGAATATTTGGGTCTTCCCCTGCTGTAGATTCATGAGGAACAAGGATAAACAATGTGGCTTCACACTGGAATGTATAGAATGGGTAGATTCTACCTGGAACAGGATGTCTCAAAGATAACTAGGATTTAAGCCATGAAGGATTTTACAATTAATAGCCAGACCTTGGAAATGTATTAAAAACATATGGATAATGACTGCAGAAATGCAAGAAGAAATGTGATTTCTGGATTAACTATATTATCAGAAGATAGGCCATAGTATTCTGTAATAAATAAAGTTCTGAATATTTAAAGGTATTATAATTATCCATTATAATATGTTCCATTATCCATTAGGTATCATCCATATGCAGATAATACCCAATAGTATATCTTGACCCCAAACCAACTAGGGTTCAAAGTACTATCCAAGTTTTGTCCAAGAGTCTGAAGATTGTGGGGACCTAAATTGGGAGGAAGAATTTCAAGCTCACTTTTGACCAGACCAAGTGATTCTGGGACTATGGATCAGGGTATCTTATTTTCAGGATCAGGGTTTCTTATTTTCCAGGATCAGGGTTTCTTATTTTCAGTTATGAATAAGGCTGCTGTTCTCCTTTTGGAGCTGTTGCACAATTTGGGAGTTTTCCTGAACCCTCAGTTCCTGCTTATGAAGCAAGTTACAGCCAAGGCTAAGAAGGCATTGCAATGAATGCATCTTGTATAAAGATCTCCTTAGCCCTTACTTGAACCAGGGAACCCTACAGATAGTCTCTCAGTCACCTATAAAAGGACTATTATAATTCACTGCCCTTGAAAATATCAGAATGCAGTGGCACAAGAGTTCCCTTCCCCAACTCCAAAACAAAACAGTGACATGTTGATTTTATGAATATAATCTGAATATAAAGTGACTTTGATATTCATTGAATTTAGATGCAGTAGATTTTAAAATATTTAAATGGTTCACAGAATTAAGCTATGAACTTCATTACTGCATAAAGTTGGATGGGCTGGAACAATTATAAAAACTAAGTGCATTATTCTGTTTTATTGAAATATATAAACTTGAAGTCCAACTTCTTTTTTTTTAGAGTTGAAAAGTGGGGGACAGAAGTTACATTAGCATCTTATTTCTATCCTTTTGAGGTCAGTAAAATGGAGACCCAAATTGTTGGAGGCAATAGGCTGACTCTGTAAACCACTTAGAGAGAACTGTAAAGCACTGTGAAGCAGTATATAAGTCTAAGTGCTATTACTATTTACCTTAATAGTAACTCTTTCTGAGGAATGGCTATTATTGACAATAGGAAAGTGAGTAGACTGGCTCTATAAACCGCTTAGAGAGAGCTGGAAAGCACTGTGAAACAGTATATAAGTCTAAGTGCTATTGCTATTTACCTTAATAGTAACTCTCTCTGAGGAATGTGAGTAGGAAAGTGAGCCGAAATGTTTATACATTTATGTTCTTATGTCTAGGTTTTTTGCAACATGGAGACTGCAGGAGGAGGCTGGACAGTAATACAACACCGAGAAGATGGGAGCCTAGATTTCCAAAAAAGTTGGAAAGAATACAAAATGGTAAGATGGAGATATTGTTTTATCATTACTCTTAATTTGAAGCAAAGCTGAACACTGTGTCAATAGCTTGTGCTGGGAACATGGCCATTAAACAATAAACCAGAAGTAACCATGCAGTTCAAGCTTACTATAATCATCAAGACTCCTTTCTTGATTTGTTTTAATATGAATCATACTTCAGAAAGTTGCTTCATTTAGAAACTTTCTTCCATTCTTTCCCTGTGGATTTAGAGATGTATCTATTGCCTTTGTCCATGGTTTCCATTCTTCTTTTCCAGAGAATGTGTCACACTGAGTAATAACAAAAATGTTAAGATTGGTTGAGATCCAAATTCCCCTATGAGAAAATAGAAAACCCTTCCACCCAGGAATTGCAGGCCTCTATGCTTCACAGGAAGCCATCTACAGATCTCTTTGTGAGGAATTTTCAGAGGATGTGGGGAAAGGCAATCATTTCCTTAAAATTTCTGATGAATAACTGAAATAACATTCCATGCTATTTTGAATCCTGGTGAATTGTGAAGTGATGGCTGTACTTTGTGCACAGCTAAAATTGAATAGGGTTAGGACTAAAGGGTATATTAAATAAAGTTATGTAAGATATGAGGAAATTGGAATCATCTGGGGGTATATATATTTATCCTAGTAATAGTAGTCAGGCAGAGCTGATATGAATCTTCTGGAGATACTATATGAGTTTCACGGCCCAAGTGGAGTTCTGAAATTATTTAGGTTCAGGGCAGGGTTTAGGTTCAAAAAGAAGAAGAGTTGAGATTCAAACTAGCACCCAGGACAGTTCCAAATGGAACTCAAGGTGGAGACTCATAGCTAGATCATAGCTGCCTTAACTGCAGATGTAAGTTTATTAGAATTAATGTTTAACCATGGCTATTCCATTTTAGCTGGAAGTTGAAGGGACCACTTCTATTTTAGCAATCAATATCTCCAACAACACTGGAGAAACTGTCTCTGCGCTAAAATTCTTTGACACTCTGTAGCACCATTTTTAAATATAATCTCCTAGATATCTCACGGTATTTCTAAAAAACCTCTCCAGCAATATAAGAGGAAAATTATAAAGCAGATGTAGTAAAAAGTAGTCTTGATTCTGCTATATTTATTGCTTTATCATAGCTCCAGCTGCTATTTGAAATCTGAATCCCAGCATAACATTAAAAAGCAATTTGTAGATTTTAGGCTTAAAAGAAGTTGTATTCTGAAGATGGCAGCTGAAACGTCTCAGATTCAGAAGATGGTGACCCAATGGACTTGTTATATGGCAGTTTTATGGGGAAATAAGTGAATATGGGTTGGTGTTTGGAGTAATTCCATATTATATTTTATTATTCTGAATCTATAGTTTGATCCATAGATATAGTGAATAATATTATTTCTCAATGTTTCATCTCCTCTGCTCTTGGGTCCCCATCAATGTAATGCAAAAATAGTGACCCTCAATTTCCCAGATATGCTCTTCCAGCAAATGAAGAGGGTAAACCATGAAAGTTCACCCTATCTCATCATAATCTTCAAGCTAAGAAGAACTATGATGAGATAGAGCTATGCTTTTGTTCTTGGGATCATTGGAGCCATTGTCCCAGCTTAGGAGTGCTACTACTTCTGAGTGCTACTACCACTGCTGGAACCACTTTCCACATCATCTTGAGTTGTTCCTTAATGATATCAGGCCATGGTATGTCTCCAGGTTCTCATACTCCTTGTTCCTGATGTTGCTGCCACTGCTACATCTATCACAGTCTTCTGATCTTTGTCTACTAGGACAATAACTGGTTGATAGACCAGTACCAGCCTGTACATCTTAATCTGGAGTTGCATAGGATCTTAACCCTGCTATTATCCATGATTTACTTCCCTGTCTAGTCTTGGGAGTGTATAGCCCATACACTATGCAGATGTTCCTGAACACAATGCCAGCTACTTGGTTGTACTATTTAGTATATTCTGTTTCTGCCTGTATCTTATACCCTGCCAGTATGTGTTGTATTGTCTTCCTCTTTACTATGTTGAAGTGAGGGTAGTTATTTCCCAATTAGTGTGGTGCAGGTCTTCTGTTCATACATACTCTCTCATTAGCATTCTAATCACTATGATATTCAGTCCTGTAGACAAATATAAAATCTGTCTGACAAATTTTGTCAGGTCTGGTCTTGTGACACAGATATTGAACATCCAAGCCAAGAAATAAATATGCAGGTAGTGCTCAATTTAGGACCATAATTGAGCCCAGAACTATGGTTGTAAATCATTCTGGCCATAAAGCAGATATTCATGTAACCAATATGACTTTATAATTATTTTTGTGGTTGTTGGTAAGGTGAATGCCATGATCATTAAGCAAACTATCTACAATGGAAGTTTTTTTACTGGGAACTGGTAAATGTAAGCCAATTGCCTAGTACCCAAAACATTATTGTGTTAACATTGGGGGGGACCATCACACCTTGGAATCTGGGTCATAAGTACATTTTTTGGGGGGGTCTGTTGTAACTTTGGATGGTCTTCTAAGTCAAGAACTACCTGTATGCATGTCACAGCAGGTGAAAAACAGAAAACCTAAGCAGATTGGAATGATCAGTCCTTGGACATGAAACCACCAGAGAAAATGGTCTTAGCTGGCTAGATTAAAGGATAAAAAACAAAATCCCTCCATATCAATGGCAAACTACTTTCACATTTCTGACAAGACAATGATATGGATTTGTCTCTGTAATTGCCTGTAGCTGAGCTCAAATCAAGTCAGTCTCTGTGTTTAACATCATCATGTAAGCTGAGATGTCTTCTGAAATGCTTCCCATATGTACAGTTGATTGAAGTATCCTAATTCTAGTATTTCCATAACTAAATCAGAATCAACAACAGTTGAGAGCATCTGCTAATCTGGGACTCTTATCTCTAATATGAACAAAGTAACTGGTCTCATTATATAGTAGCTGGTGGCACTTGTTCATCTATATCACACTCAAAGCAGGAATCCAATTTCAAATAGGATGGAAAACCAAGATAAAACCTTACAGTTTATTTTTTTATTAATCCAATTTATATAGCTGCCCATCTCACCCAAGGCAATTCTAGGTGGTGCACAATTATAGATAAAATGTGAGAATGTAAAAATAGCAAATGCAGATAGAAAAGACCATAAAAATATGCCAAAGTGCCAGTGGCACAGTGGTTAGAATGCAGTACTGCAGGCTACTTCTGCTGACTGTTGGCTGCCTCAATTTGGCAGTTAAAATCCCACCAGGCTCAAGGTTGATTCAGCCTTCCATCCTTCTGATGTGGGTAAAATGAGGACTCAAAATTGTTGGGGGCAATATGCTGACTCTATAAACCACTTAGAGAGAGTCTAAGTACTATTGCTATTGCTAAAAAATGGAAAATAAATAATTGAAGGAAATAGAAATGCCCCCCTCAACAATTAAATCAAAAATAGACTTAAAAATAATTAAAAAGTCACTATTAATAGCACTTAGACTTATATACTGCTTCATAGTGCTTTACAGTCCTCTCTAAGCAATTTGTAGAGTCAGCATATTACCCCAAACAATCTGGGTCCTCATTTACTGACTTCAGAAGGATAGAAGGCTGAATCTATCTTGAGCCAGTCAGGAATTGGTATTATTTAGCTGGCTTTATCTCCCTCATTTCCATTCCCCATTTGTCATATGCAGGGAGAAGAACCATGCATGACTGTAAAAATTACAGTTCTCATCTAGGTCATGTTTCCTGTCTGGTTTACCTGAGGTCTCAATTGCCATCTTTAACAAAGGACTACCTGTATATATGAAGTCCATTAAGTGTTCAAAGAGCTATGCAATTATCGTACAACATTTCTTGCTAATACTTACTAATTATATCCATTTCTACTGTTGTTCTATATCTGTAAGTTAGCTAGTTCAACAATGAGTGTAGCAAGTGCACATGACATTTTCAGATGTTGATATTTGGACAGATGTATAAGAATGCTCTTTTATATAAAATACCACACCCAAATTCATTGCTGAATGAATTAACAAAAGAAAATTTTCAGAAGTAGAAGGCTGGATAAGGTATTCCCACTATTGGAAAATGTTACTTTCCTTCCTGAATTAACTTAATTGTGAGGCTTTTAGGCACTGAGTTTTCATTTAAGGAATACAGACTTAATCATTTGGATTTTATGATCTTTTGTGGAGTTTCATGTAGCTAACAAAAAATTATTGCAACACCCAGAAGTAAACCATGTCTCAGAAGATATAAAATGGTTATTAAAACCTGCTTAAGCAAGCATCTTTAGCTTTATTTGATGCATTTTATTTATTTAGCATTTAGCATTTTAGCAGTAAGTATTATTTAATATGAGAACCAACCTTCTTGTCAGAGTCTCAACTTCTCCATTATTTGCAATGGATACCCTACCCAGTAGTTGTACTCTGCTACCCATATGAAAGAGATGTTCACAGGATATAATCGAAAAAGTGAAGAAGGAGGCCTCGGTGTTATATTTAAAGCTCTGACAGTTTTTAGATGTGTTTCTCACACACAATGAAATTTTAAAAGAAAGAAGGAGAACTTTGATTGGCTATTGTGACTATTACCGTAACATTTTGGACAGTTATACACACATTCAATTATCTTCTCCTTATATAAGATGCTTTTTCTTTTATTAGTTTGCATGTACCACACATGGTTTCCAGGAGAAAATTGCATCTTAAAAGCTACAGATAAATGGCATATTCCTTGATTTGTATTTCTGTGTAAGTTTATAGAAAAGTAGGTAAAGCTACATTAAAATGAACACTGAACAAAAAAGATTTATCAGAATTTTATCATAGTGCTTACATTTCTGATAAATTTACACTTATCAGAAATGCAAGCACTATAGTTCCTTTCTACCTACATCTTACAGTCTAAAGTCACCATGTACATTTGTGTTTAATTACTTTATAGTTTGCTTTCTGCTACTACATTTATAGTTAAATACCTTTCCTTAGCCTGAGCTTGTTCTGCTTAGAGCACATAGTCCGATCTAGAATCATATTCTCCCTCTGTAAATGTTGCTGGATAACATCTGTTTTGGAAATTGCGTTGACATGTGGTTATATATCTTTTGATTGCCTGCCCTTCGGCATTTTAACTGGACCACAAAAATGTGTTTTAAATTGGCTCACATGATGGCCTCCCCTAATCAGAAAGGAAAAAAGAGTTGTAGTCTGCAAAAAAAAGTTAGCTGATTAATATAGTTATCCCTTTGCCATTACATTTGATATAAACTTTGTTGGATTACTGATGAAATACAAGGATCAGATTACTGCATTTAACTAGATCCAGGTCACAAGGCACCCCAAATCTGCCTCAAATATTTATATTCATATATAGAACAAATTTGTAGGTGTATGTCATTCTTTATTACTGATGCAGATATTACAGTGCCAGAAGAGCTGGGACCTCTAAGAACTTGATGGTTTATGAGGCATTTATCACAGTATTTAAATTCCATCAGACAACAATCCTGTTTCTCAGGATATCTCCAAGAGGGATGAGGTGGGGGTGTCAAAAAATCAAAATGGTAGCTTTAATAATGTGATCAAACCCTGCCCCCTTTTCTTTAGATAATTATAACCTTTGTTAAAGCTTTTAAAGAGGAAGATAAAAATGACTGCAAACTAATATGAAGTAAGGAAGAAAAAAGAAAAAAAATCAGTTAAAAGCAAAAGGTATAAGAAAAAAAAATAGAAAGAAAAAATAGAAAAGAAAGAAAAAATGTATGTTCTTCACAGCAGTTGTTACCTACAAATATATGTTATCTCTCTCTCTCTAAAGTTACATCATATGACTCTTCTTTCTGTAGTCTATTCTGTCTAATCATCACATGTTCCCTTTTTTATGTTTATGCAAAAAGTCCCTTCTCTCATCAATAAATGTAAGTAAAGCTCCACCCCTTTTTTACATGACACATAAGAGGTATGGCTCTTGTGGACTGTCGTGTGGTCATAGCTGCCATTTTGACATTTTTATTCTTACTTCCCACAAGGTAGATTGGATTGAAAGAGAGAGAATCGTGGGCCCAAAGTGAGCTCCAGGGTCAAGTGGAACTTAGGCCTCCAAACTCCTTATCCAGCACCCTGAAAGTTACTCCTATTTAATATATAACAGAAGAAAAAAATTTACTCAATACATAGGAAGTTATGTTAATGTCAAATAACAGAATATAATATTAATTAATATGTATGAGTTCAAATGGAGTTTGGGCTTTTGGCTTGTTTGTTTTGTCTGTGTCTTATCTACTTGTTTATCTTGGACCTGCTTACTTTGGGGAGTGTTGCTTTCAAAATGATAAATGTTGCCAAATCTCTGAATTATATGAATCCCTCTGCTTTTGACTGCTGAAAAAGAACAGAACAGAACACCAGAGTTGAAAGGGACTTTGGAGGTATTCTAGGCCAATCCTCTGCTCAAGCAGAAGATCCTATACCATTTCAGACAAATGGCTGTCCTGTTTTAAGTCTATATTGTTTTTATTCTACAAGACTTTTTATGATCAATATCTCTGTGTGTTTCCATATTTTTATTTTGGGCTATTTGATTGTATGGATATTCCCCTCCTCCTCCTCTTCTATAATTTGTTCATTGAAATAACTTTTTAAAAGTGGGATATTAATGGTGAATTAAGAATTAATGGTCTATAACATATCAATTGATTTTCCCCTTCCAAAAAGCTGTTCTGTTGAAAATCATTTATTTAATTTCCATCAAAAGCTCGGGGGTCCTCTTACTTATTCTCAGAAGATAGACTTGCCTGAGGTTGGGGTGAGAGGTTAGGACTGACTTACTAGTGGTTTCATTCAATGGTTTTGAAACATGTCCATAAGATATGCTATATCTGGTTTCAATTTCGTTTTCTTTTCCATTAAAAACCTCAGAGCTTCCTATGAACATTATCAGATGATGAAAATGAAGTAAGAGAGAAAAGTGTTTAATGATACTGGAGGAATGTAGTACAAATGGGATACCCTTATACATTTTGCCAGATTTAATAAAACACTTTTATACCCTTCATAGCATTTTCCTTCCATTGTTAACATAAACTCTGCAAAATGTTAGTCCTGACACTGCTGAAATAATGCTGGATTCTTTCTGTTCTTGACCCATGTTCCTAGTTTCCTTGTTGTTTTGTGTTATTTTGATTCTGATTTTGCTAACAAGGAGATGCTTGATGGGCCTAAATAATTCCTGCAAAGCTGCTGAATCAAAGAATAGCTGTTCAGTTCACTATCTGGTCCTTATCCCCTTTAGATTGGAACTTCTTTTAAAACAATCATGTTTATGTGATATTGTCTGATATTGTGCTAGCAGAGAAAAGTTTTTCTTCTTTATACAGTATTTTTGGGTTGTTGTTGTTAGTTGCAGAGTCATGTCTGACCCATCGCGACCCCATGGACAACGTTCCTCCAGGCCTTCCTGTCCTCTACCATGTTCTGGAGTCCATTTAAGCTCACGCTTACTGCTTCAGTGACTCAGTCCAGCCACTTTATTCTCTGTCATCCACTTCTATTGCCCTCAATCTTTTCCAGAATTAGGCTCTTCTCCAGTGAGTCCTACTTTCTCATTAGTTGGTCAAAGTATTTGAGTTTCATCTTCAGGATCTGACCTTCTAAAGAGCAGTCAGGGTTGATCTCCTCTAGGACTGACCAGTTTGATCACCTTGCAGTTCAAGAGACTCGCAGGAGTCTTCTCCAGCACCAGAGTTCAAAGGCCTCAATTCTTTGGTGCTCAGCCTTCCTTATGGTCCAACCTTCACAGCCATACATTGCAACTGGGAAAACCACAGCCTTGACTATATACACTTCTGTTGGCAGGGTGATGTCTCTGCTTTTAGTATGCTGTCTAGATTTGCCATAGCTTTCCTCCCCAGGAGCAAGTGTCTTTTAATTGCAGTCCCCATGTGCGGTGATCGTGGAGCCTAGGAAAATCAAATCTGTCATTACTTTCATTTCTTCCCCATCTATTTGCCAGGAAACGAGTGTGCCAGATCCCATGATCTTAGTTTTCTTAATGTTGAGTTTCAAGCCAACTTTTGCACTCTCCTTCTTCACCTGCATCAAGAGGCTCTTTAATTCCTTTTCACTTTCTGCCATTAGAGTGGTATCACTCTGTATGTATACAAATATTAAATTTTTCCTGTGCACTAATTCCTAAAGGCACATCCAGTGAGATATCTTTCTTCCAAGACCTTTAGCATCTTTATCAGCTTTGTCATTTCAATTCAACAATCAGATACATGATATAGGTTGAAATGAAGGACCATATCATTTGCAATTGTATCCTAGGTGCTCTTAAAGTCTTTAGAACTTTAGGGAACATTCTCTTTAATTAGTCCACCTTAATGGTACCACCATTTCCAACCATTGCTGGAAGACAAGGAATACCTGAGTCAGATCCCAGGTTTTATATTTTTCCTGAAAATCAGTGGAAGATTAAATATTTCCAATTTAGGAATAAGTTATTCAGAAGAAAATTTTTTCATTCACTTTGATAAAATAAAATTTACTTTAGAGTTCTTACAAAGAAAGGGAAAATCTCATGAAATGGCTGAGAAATTAACGCAAGCATTCCAGTATCTGAAATCTTTTAAATCTTTTGAATATGTTGCAAAATATCAGTTATCAGTTACATAGGAATGTATTTTTATTTATGTATTTATTTATCAAATTTATATAGCTGCCCATTTCACAAATGTGATTCTAGGTGGCACACAAAAAAACATTATTTTAAAGCATCCATTTTAAAAGATTATTTTCTTTTTTAAGTCTCAGCCTATTCAATGAATTAAACTAGACAATGCTTCTCTCATATTCCCAGATATTTCTATCATTTATTTTTACATTTTTAAATAATATCCAGACCAAGAAGGTAAGCTTCAAATTGTTTCTATTAAAATCAATGAGAGTTGTTAATTGTGATTGAATTTCGTCATTAATTTCTTAGGGACTAAAGCTTGAAAATGCCCCCTGTATGATATGTATGATATGACACATATCATGTATCATATCCTTTATGATATCATTTAATAATTGGGCAACAAATATATATTTGAGAAAAAGATTAGTTAGGAAAAAAAATGTCTCCATCAGTAGCCCTTCTGACTTGTTATTCATAGCAATTACTTACAAAGTCTGTATCTAATCAAGAGAAAAATATAGTCATTGTCATGATCTTCATGAAATTATTGAAAAAGAATTGGTGTATATTATAAATCAATAATTAAAAACATGAAGAACACTCTGCACATTTGTCAAGAATTATTACATATTCATGAAAGTTGGTTTTCCCAAAAGTGACAGTCATCATCTGTGAATGCTCTGGCATTCAAAATTATTTTTCTGTGGCTGGAAGGATCTAAGCTGTAATACATACAATAAGAACTAAGCAGATTGAGGAATGCTGTGAACATTTATTGTTGAATTTTTTTTTCTGTGGTGTATGTTGCATAAATATAAGCAAGAATGATTAAACTCACTTCTTCATTTTCCCCCTAGGGTTTTGGTAGTCCCTCTGGTGAATATTGGCTGGGAAATGAATTTATCTTTGCAATAACCACCAGTCAAAAACATTACTCTCTAAGAATTGAACTAATGGATTGGGAAGGAAGTAGAGCTTATTCACAATATGATAGATTTTACATAGGAAATGAAAAACAGAATTACAGGTGAGTGCAGATATGATTTTACTTTTATGAGAGCCTTTTGAAATATGCGTGTAACTGATAAGTTGGAAACCTACTGGAATCTTGAAAGTAAAAGAATATTGAATTTTGCTTTTAGTAGTTGGAGTATAAAATCATATATGAATCTCCTTAGCCTAATTCAGACTATTCAGTATTGTTTATTCTGATTGTCTTCGTGCACATCTGGGTCAATAAATAAGATGTTCTTATAGACCTATTGGGAGCATATATCCATTTGCATGGTTTCCTTTAACAGCATATTCCTATTTTATGGCTGTAGCTTTCTGATTATATTTCTTATAGTTCAGTTTGAACCCTTTTTACTTTGCAATCAGTAAATATTCAGTGTCTTATTTCTTAGAGTACCAAGCATAAGATACTCTTATAATGTTTTCTTTGTATTAATTAAGAAATATGTTCAGATGTTGTACTTCATTAGAAAGACTATGTTATACATGTCTGTCTATATTTAGTAAATAAGAAAATAAGCGACCTTAGAGATCTTCTAGTCCAAACCCCCACACAAAGCAGGAAAACTTATGCCATTTCAGACAAATGGTTGTCCAATCTTTTCTTAAAAACTTCCAGTATTGGAGCATCCACAAATTCTGGATGCAAGTCATTCCAGTGACTAATTGTTCTAATTTCCCAGAAATAAAATGGAAGGCTTTTAATATTATACTCCCTTCTTAACTTGAAGTTTTCAATTCTTCTTGGTTTGATTTTTACTTTAATTTCTCAGTGTGTATTTAACTTTCTATTTGCCCAGTGTTTATTCTTCTCTCTCTCTCTTTTCTATCCTCCAACCTATCCCTTTCTCTTTTTCCATTGATATTTGAAACAATTATTGCCAAAAGGCTAGTTAGTGAAATACATTTGTCAATGCTCCTGGCATCTTCTTTCCTGCATTACAACATGTCCAGTTGTCAAATAAAGAAGAGAGAATCTGATGCAATCACAACATCTTCTTGGTTATACAGCAAGAGTTACTAATTAAAGGTGTAAGGGATGAGGTTAGACTTGGAGATAGCTGTTGTGATTCCAAAAACATCAAGAGCAGCACAAAATGTACAGATTTGGCTTACAGTTGGGCTAAACTAGCTATTTGAACTTGGCTCAAATTAATGCACGTTTTGCAAACACCAGGAAAATATTGTTGGGGTTTTTTTGATCATGAAGAAACCTCTGTGTGTATCACATAAAACCCTAGAGATGAATATTTTCCCAGGATGGAAATAGCAGATTGGGAGCATAAATAAAGGTTAAGTTATTATTTTTCATTTAAAAGATAGTGATCTAATAAAGATAGTCAGAGTTCTCAGTTCTTACTCTAGCCAAGTTCAGCATCTTATTGGACCACAGAGTTTAATAGTCGACACATTCTGGTTTATGTTTTCTTTCAGCCCAGTTATTATTTAATATAATTTCAAAGTTATGGATGACTTTCTCTCAGTGATAGGTGTGCCTCAGACAAAGATAGAAGTACTGCAGCCCTCAACAGCAAACAATATTCATGGTCTTGTTAAATTTTCTCATGATTAGGAGGAGGCAGGTCCAAGGAAAGATTTATTCACAGCTTAACACTCAAACACATTATCTTACATAGAGAAGATTTCAAGTTCTATCACATTCAAGAACACAAGTCTTTGATTAAGTGCAACTTACTATGGTTCCAATCCACACATACCTATCACACTAATTCAGGGTAAGCAACATTATGAATAATACAAAAAATGAAGTAAAAACTAGTGGGTTAAAGTAATTAATGTTAAGAAAAATAAATGTCCAAAAGGTGCTTTTTTAAGAGGCAACTGGACTTTCTTGTTTTTCTTTGAAGATGTTTTGCTTCTCATCCAAGAAGCTTCTTCAGCTCTGACTAGATGGTGGGGAATGAAAGGATTAATAATCCTTGAAGACAGATGGTCATTTGCATTCATTTAGAGAGTTGTTGAGGCCATTTGGAGGTTTCTCTGTGTCCTCAGGGTTATCTGAGTTGAGCAAATGGATGTGGAACCTTCTTGGAACTGCTGAAAGGACTGTGTTGTGGAGCTCTGTGTCCTTTCACTGTTGAACACAGATGCAGGCTGTTGGGCATGAGTCTGTGTAGTCTGTATCTCAAACTGAAGTGCAAATGGTTCCTATAGTCTGCAGTTTTTCTGGAAATCCATTCTTACTCCCATACCATTCGAAGGAGGTTCATTCCAAAGTGCATAGCAAAATGTCTATGGAGATTCTCAATCATCCAGGTCATGGTTGCCCCAAAGGTGCTTTTTCAAGAGGCAAATTGACTTTCTTGTTGTTTTAAAACATTTCACTTCAATCTCCAAGAAGATTCTTCAGCTCCATAGACAAGAAAAATAAATGGAACTATACCTAAATCAGGATTATACAAACATAGTTGCTCTCCATATATTTTCTAACCCTAGAAACTACAGTATTCTTGCTTCTACTACATCCATGTACTACTTCACATCTTGTTCACACTTTTTAAAAGTCTCATTCCCTTTTCTCATTTATTGAAGTCTACCCAACCACAAATTTCTTTATTTTCCTCAGCCTCTCAATCGATTCATTCTTCCTTCATATTTTAGCTTAACTATTTGCAACCTTTATTCATTTTCTTTATATGATCAGACCACCTCAAGGCATGCATTTTTACTGCTTATCCACTTCATTATTCAATCCTTTATTATTCAAGCTCAGCAGAGATTATACTACTTGGGACTTCTCAGAAAACAACAACTGAATGAAAAACTGCTGGGGACCTTCTACCACCATAGAGAGCATTTTAACTTACTGCACTTCTGTATGGTTTGCCAATTGCACAGTGGCAGATAAGAAAGCACTCCAGAGGGTTAACATCATTGCCCAGAAGATCATTGGTTGCCCTCTCCCCTCTTTGGAAGAGCTTTATAGCTCCTGCTGCCTTAAGAAAGTTCAAAACATTCTCAAAGATCCATCTCATCCTGGGAACCCTTTTTTTTAACTATTACCATCTGGCAGATGGTACAGAATAATAAAAACAAGGACAAATAGGCTGAAAAACAGCTTCTATCCCAGGGTAGTAGCTCTTTTGAGTTCTACTGTATAGGGCAGTGTTGGTGTGGTGTCGGGGTTTCGGTTCAATGTGTGAAGGGTGAAGGATGTGTGTTTGTGTTTATTTTCATGGTCATGGTCATGATGTGCACTGAAGATGGTGTTTGATTTCATTGTACGAGGTGCAATGACAATAAAGTAAACTAAATTAAACTTATTCAGCACCCACTCTTTCTTAACTGTCTCTCTATTTATTATATATGTTTCCTAACTTATTTTCATATTTCTTCCAAATTATTCAGTTCTCATGTCCATGTATCAAAAAGGCAGAAGCATGAACATTTATACAGAGGCAGAAGCATTTACATTGGTTTTGTTTATTTTCCCAAATATTTACACCTCAAAACATACTCGCTATTACCTCCCAACCACCATCTATACATCATAAAATATCTCTATCCATTTCCTCAATTTTAACTTTTTAATCAAAGTACACAGATTTCCTTTCATCTTTGTATAGCTTGTGATCATTTGGCCCATTTTCTCTCTCAAACACAATCGCCTTGGTCTTTAAAATATGTTTTCAGATCCATACATTTGTTGTATCTCACTATTTAGCATTCATTACAAATTATTTCAGTTATTTCAGTCAGAACTGAAGTATCTTTTTGAATGAGATGCAAAACGTTTTCAAAGAAAAAACAAGAAGGTCCAGTTGCCTTTTTAAAAAAGCACCCTTGGAACAACCAAAATCTAGTTTTACCCCAAGCAAATACACACCATTCCCTGCAAGTGAGAATCTCTAATCTAAAGACTACTTTACAAGCCAACAAAGCAGTTTAGTGTATATGTATTCAGAATATGCACATACTTGTGTATTTATATATTCAAGTATGTACATAGCAGGAAGAGAAAGAGAGATGGGGGGAAAATGCTTATGAATAATGACAACCCTTAGCAATATGCAAATTGATTTGTCTTGGGAAACTGACTTTTAGCCAGTTAACTCTTTTCATTTTATTAATATACTAATGGTGGTTTTCAAGGCACTACTATGAGAAATGGTTACAGGCATACGAGTAAGACTTCATTCCCCTTGCCAAACACAGAAAGGCTACATACGCTGTCGAAGAACTAAGGACAGAAGTTCAATGCCATAGATTAGACTCGGTTCTTGCTTAGATTTTATCAATGTTCATTTCTTCTCTTTGAGTTCCATCAATTTTCAGCTGTTTTATTCTGAATATCTCTCAGGAGGAATAGCCTATTTATGTGCAGTCACCCATCCAAATGGATGCTTTTTCCAAGGTGATGAAATGATTAATTACAATAATGATTCTGCATCAAATTTTCTGTTTAAAAAAGGCACAGCAAATGTGATTCAAACACCACCATTTCCATCAGGAACAAAAATAGCCAACCAAGCAACTGGTTTCCAAGTTGGTTTGGGCATTTGTTCAAAGAATATTAAAATAGAAAGATGAAAACAAAACAAAACAAAATAGGGCTGTGGGAGAAAGGAATATATATAAAAGGAATACATAAAAAAGGCACTCAGTGCCTTTTTTGCACTGAAGTCTCCTCACTGGACAAAGAACACCATTCCAACATTTCATTACAATCACTGATGTAAGAATTCAGAGTCTACAAACTAATCCATTGCATCTGAAAAAATATGGAAAATCATCTTTCATACTGTTCTGTAACACCCTATAGAAAGTTTGGACTCGGCCTGGATCAGTCCCAACTGGTGATTTCAGAAGTGTTCTGTTTATTCTCTGTGCTGTTTGTATTTCTTTCTTTCTACTACGTTTTATTAGTCTAAGAATCTCTGATTTGGTGCAGTAATGCTGAACACATGTACATTAAGAAATATCCTCACTTTTCAAAACCATACAATTATGAAGTATTTTTTTTTCTGGGAAGTCAAGATCCCAACTAAAGTA